TTTAATATTTTGAGGAAACTCCATACTGCTTTCCATAATGGTTGCACCAATCTACATTCCTACCAACAGTGCACACAGGTTTCCTTTTCTCTGCATCCTCATTAGCACTTGTTGTTTGTTGATTTACTGGTGATAGCCATTCTGACAGATGTGAGGTGATAATCTTAGACTGTGTTTAATGTTCATTTCTCTGATGATCAGTGACATTGAGCATCTTTTCATGTCTATTGGCCATCTGCATGTCCTCTTTGGAGAAGTGTCTATTCAAATCCTCTGCCCATGTTTTAAATTGGATTGTTTATTTTTTGGTGTTGAATTGTATGAGTTCTTTGTAAATTTTGCATATTATGAATTTTGAATATTTTTGGGTGTTTCATTGATGAATATCTTCTCCCATGCAGTAGGTTGCCTTTCATTTTGTTGATGGTTTCCTTTGCTGTGCATAAGCTTTTTAGTTTAATATACTCCCATTTGTTTATTCTTTCTTTTGTTTTCCTTGCTTGAGGAGATATATCAGGAAAAAAATATTACTAAGAGAAATGTGTGAGAGTTTATTGCCTGTGCTTCTAGAAGGACTTCTTTACTTAGATGTTACTCATGCCACCAAAGTAGGTAGCCTAAAAGGAGTAGTTAGCTTTTCTCTATGGCTCTTACTTTCTAATTTAATGATAGTGCTAAATACAGATTAATTAAAGATTACTCTGTAATGTTTAACCAGTATGTAAACTACTCATCAATTTAGCTTAGTTATTCTCAAAATAATATTTAAGACAAGGGCCTTATGTTCCCATGCTTCCGTATCCCTCACATGTCTTAGGTTGTATCAGGTCTTCACATTAAGAGGTAGATTTGGGTTGAGTCCAAGCTTTTCTATTAGCTGTGTGTCCTTGGACAGATCATTTTATCTCTCTGACATCATCTTAAGATGATGATATTTGCCTGTTGAGTGTTGAGTAGATAAGAAAAAGCCTATGAGGATACAGGAGGTTGATGATGTTAAAGAGGTGGAGTAGAAGGTCACCTAGACAATCAGAATTAGCTTTAATATGGGTGGAGTTGGGGAGAAGTAATGGGGAATATTAACCCCTCTTTTTGGTTCTGCATAACACAGGATGTGAGAGAAGAAAACAGTATTCATTTGACAGAGCTTCAGAGAAAGGGCATGTCCTAAGTACATAGCCTGGTTCACACCTTCTGAGAGCAAATGCAGAGTTTTACTTTTTTCCACCAGTAAGTGTATTTGAGGGGTTTTAAAAGAGATTAGGCATAGTAGTAGCTGGAGGCATTGGTTGGGTTGGGGGAGGAAAGGAAAGGAAGGGCTTTGTTTTTTAAAGTAATGTTGAGCTGAAAGAGCCAGTCAAAAAGACCTGGGGAATTAAAAAATAAGAGAATAACAGACAGAACAACTTCTCTAGGACATAGATGGAAAATAGGAATGGGGTGCAGACAAGTAGAGAACATGAGTATCACACGGAAAAATGGAAGGAAATAAGGAAATATCTCCAGGATCCTAACTGCAAATTTACTATTTTCTTTAAAATTTCCAAATAGGCCATCCTGGTATTAACAAAGATCTACTAGGGCTGGATCAACAAAGGAATCTTCTGTGGACATGAGCTGTAACACTCAAGGAGTGTATAGGGGTGACAGTCAAGAGGAAAGTAGCTAAATACAAAAAAATCACAGGGTGTTGGAGCTGGAAAAGACTCTGTAGGTCTCTAATTCAACCCCTAACTTTTGGTAGAAGAAGCTGCTGGGGTTATGTTATTTGCTTCTGATAGGTAATGGTGATTCTAGCCAGGTATCTTTCTGGATACTGTTCTGAGGAAGAACAAGAAGTGTGTCCTTAAAGCCCAAGAAGAATCAAAGAATTTAGGAGCACTGATTCTACAAAGCTGATAGAAAAAGTATTAGGAAAGAAAAGGTAATGTTTGTTTTCCTGGGTTGATCTGTGTTTAGATATTTAGTCCTACCCATTTTAATAGCGTTAGTAATATTATTGTAGTCATGTGGTTTTCAGAAATGACTCTCTTCTGAGATTGGGCAGTGACTGAGCTATGCAACTCAGCAGTCTTTAGAACCCAATTATTGATTTTGGTTATATTAATTCTATTTTACTTTAAAAACATTTATTCAATATTTTTTTGGTCTACATAGTAATTTTATTCAGGATTCATTTTGGTTATCATGGGAATGTTTTATAACCTGAGAATTTATAGTACTTTAAATAACAGGGGTTAAAAATTTCAACCCCTTCATTGTTAGAAAGGCTTTAATTACAGAAGGTGAAATTCTCCTGACGTTGATAGATGACCCATGTCTTGCTGACTCACCAAGAATCCTCACTCATTTGCTTCTTTAAAAAGCTCCATGAGATGAGAACATATCTGCAGTTTTAGATATTGTGACATGAAGTAGGCTGGGAAGGAGAATTGTCAATTTGTGCTGCATTTACAGGGGAAAATTTTTAAAATTCTATTAGAAAAAATAAGATATCCAGGAACTCATCAAAATGAGTTATTGACTTGATGGGGTTTCATATATGTAACTAGTTTATAAAAAATATTATATTATTTGAATGCCCCAAGGCTATTTGGCTCAGATATGGTACTGATAGTGTGTTTTTTCATGGTTCTTGTGCTTGGGTTCATTGAATTTCTTGAATCTGTGGGTTTTAGTTTTCAAGTTTTCAATATTTTCAGCCATTTTTCTTCAAGTATTTTTTTAAAATCCCTTCTCTGTCTCCTTAGAGGTTTCTAATTACAAGCAAACCTCATTAATTGTGCTTGCCTTATTGTGGTTTGCAGACACTTGAATTGCATTTTTTATAAAAAGAAGGGGGTGGATTTGTTGTAGACGTGGGAGAGATAATCAGAAAGACATGATGATGGATTGTTCATGGGGAAGGGTGGCCAGGGCTTCTAAGAAGCAGAGACCTGTTTTGGGAAGAGAGGGAATGTTTCTTAGCAGTGTTTGGAGGTTGGGAGGAGGATAGAGCCAGGTTTCTGCTAAAGCTAGAAGATAAATGAAATGTTCTGATAAGTGGTATAAAGGGTTTTCTCATCACAGAGCAGGAAGGAGTTCTTGAGGGCACAGGATTCTCTAGATAGTGTCCTGGGCCAGAATAGGAGACATTGAGATCAATATAGCTTTGACAGTCAGGGTTTTAATATATGCCTCAGAGCTTAGACTTCCTGCAGTGACTGCAGTGAACAGGGTTATTAGGAAGCATAAGATGTGCCCTTCTGGGAGGAGGAAGGCGGTCTGACCTAGTTCTGTGGTCTTTAATGCTCGCTTCCAGGAAAGTTCTCCCCTAGGCTACAACAACTCTGACATATAATCATAGAAATTTATTGCTAAAAAGCGCTTAGAGATTATTTATACTATGAAGATAGAGAAAGATATGAAGATAGACTGATTCCTCTCCCCACTCCTTTTTTTTTTGTAGTCTTAACATTATCCCCATGCTATAGAAGGTTTTGCCAACATTGTATTTTTTAGAGTGAAAATATTAAATGTAAAAGGTAAAGCTACAAGAGTTACTAAGGTCATTTAGTTTATCTTTTAAATCCCCCTTTTTTGAATAGTTTAAGAAGTTGTTTTCATTTTTGTTAAAATTTAGGTTTTTATGGAAGAGCTCCGTTAGTTTTAAATTGCTTTGTGGTATCAAGAGTGTGTTAGTACTTCACAGATTTACGATTTTGAAAGTAAATATGATGAGTTCATAGGCCACATGTCTTGTTTCATATTCATAATAGCATTTAACAAACTAAAAATGACAGCCTCTCTAAACAAGGTTTATTTTTGAGAAATGTATATGGCAGTATTAAAAACAAGATTACCAACTCAGACCTTGGAGAGTTTTGACTGTGACTAAGAATTTCTTTAGGTTATAATTTTGCTTTAGGATTACATTGGAATACTAACTGAAAGAGAATAATTCTGTTCATTTACATATCAAAAGTATTAGAGTAGGAAAAAAGTATGAGTAGAAATACTAGTTTTGTAAGAATCTGAAACCATATCTTGTTTATTTTTTGTATCTTTAATGTGGATCCTCACTAACTGTGGTTAGACTCCAATAATTTTTTCTCAATAGAATTTTGAAGACCAATAGTGAAAAGCATTCCTCTGTTACTTTTTTTACAGAATTTATAAGATGGAGAGTCTAATCACAAAGAACTTTTTTTTCCAGCAGTATCCGTATGCCCACTTGTTGAAACCCACCCTTTTTTGTCTCTGCTATAGAGGCAATGTATTGTGCTGGAAAAACCACTGAGAGCTAATGGTACTTATTAAGAAAAGGGAAAGACTACAGCTAGAAATCCAGAGAATGCCTTTATTTAAGACCTAAGCAGCAAAAGAAGACCAGGTGGAAAGATTGAGAAAGTATTTTTAGGAAGGGAGGAAGACAGTTTGGTATATGGGAAGATAAGGACTCATGCAAGCCAAAATAGAAGAGTATCAGGAAGAAGTAAGTCAGTATGATCAGATGCAAGAGAGAGAGAGAGAGGAAGAGAGAGACAGAGAGAGAGAGAAACAGAGAGAGAGAGAGAGAGAGACAGAGAGACAGAGAGAGACAGATAGAGAGAGACAGAGAGAGAGAGAGAGAGAGAGTGAGATTGATTGATTTAGAATGAAGATGGGAAAATTCTGTTACATTAGGAAATGGTGACCTTACTGAGGAATTAGAATGGTATGAGCAGAAAAAATATATCAGTGTGTAGAAAATCAAACAGAAGACTTCAAGTGTGGAGTCCCTTACTCCTTTTCTTAGTATTCAGCATAGTCTCAGATTACTTTTGAAGATTCGAACTTAAAAAGTATAGTTGTGAAAAGTTGAAGATGTTAAATATGCACCTTGGCCAGAAACCTGCTATTTTTATATTAATGTAATAATTCATGTAAAACAAAATATTTAAACTTCTTGAACACTTAAAGCATAGCTGAATGCAGGCTTCTAATACAATGCTAATTTTATTTCTTTATGTTTTTAAAAGTCTTGGCTACTTATGATTCATCAGACGGAACAACTTAGTAGGATAATGAAGACACATGCAGAGGACCTAAATTCCGGACCCTTGCACAGGCTCACCATGATGATCAAAGACAAGCAGCAGGTGAAGAAAAGTTATATAAGTGTTCATCAGCAGATAGAGGCAGAGATGATCAAGGTTTGTCTTTCCATTCTCAAATTTTTCTTTAACTGATTTTTAAATTCACTGAGAAATATTTCTTATTCTGTTTGACTTGTAAAAATGATTTACTCCATTCCTGGTAGGTAGCTCCATTGGTTGGAGTGTTGCCCTGTACACCAAAAAGGTAGCGGGTTGGGTACCCAGTCGAGGCGTGTACTGGAGGCAACCAAGCAATGTATCTCTCTCTCTCTCTCAATAAGTAATATGTTATTTTTTGAATATAAGACATTGACTATAAGATATACTGTTACTTTATATACTCCTACAAAAGAAAAAATACTGCCAATTAAACTATGATCCAATGCTTTTATTAGTTAGAATTTTTATTTTTATTTCCACTAATTGAAATAGATCTTTTAGGCTTTAAAAAAATTTATCACATAACACTATGCATAAAATAAAAATGAAAATATAAGCAAAATAAATTAAGACATTTAAAAACTTTCTCCATCTTCAGAGTATCTCCCCTGGATAATGTTTGCAATATTTTTAATTATGAAAATTTGCAAATGTACAAAAGAGAGAATACTAAAATGAACTCCCATTTACCCTTTCACCCACATTATGCATTTTTTCATCTGTTTCTTCTATACCAGATCATTCTAAAGAAAATTCCAGATATTATTTTATTCATAAATGTTTTAGTATATTTTGCTAAAATGTACTCTTTTAATAAAACAATTATATTATTAATCTCTATATAAAAATAACAATAATTTTTAATGTTATTAAATATCCTGACTGTGTTCAAATGATTGTTGTCTAAATGCTTTTTACAGTTGTTTATTTTAAATCAAGATCCAAACATGGCCCACATATTGCATTCAAAAATTCTCTTTAATGTGTATTGCCCTCCCCCCTCTTTAAAATGCCATTTATTTGTGGAAGAAATTGCGTAATTTGTTCTATAGAATCGAATTTTCTTTTTCTTTTTTGGATTTTGTTGTTAGCATCTTGTGTTGTGATTTTAAATATTCCTTCATTCTCTGATTTTCCTGTAAACTGGAAGTTAGGTCTAAAGGCTTGATAAGATTCCTTCTGTTTATTTTGGGCAAGTAGATATCACAGGTGTTGGTATAGACTTTCTCTTGTTTTATATCAGGTGGTATATAATGTCTGTCTCTGTTTGTTTGTTTTTTTTTGTGATGTGGAACTTGACTAATATGTTCTAGTTTTGCAAGCCTGATCAATCTATTATTAATAAAGTTTCCCCTCAGCTTTTCCTCTAATATTTTTAGAAACAATCAACGTTCACTGCTTAATTTATTATTATGGTGGGGGTTGTAAAATGGCAAGATTTTTCTTCTATTATTCTTAATCCAATTATTAGCAAGAATTTTTCAATAAAGAGTTTTCCTTGATCTACTATTTGGTTACCCTGAGGTATAGCTTATATATGGAAGACAGAATAAATGCTTTTTTTTTTTCTATTAACTTGCCAGCTTGCAGAATAATGAATAGGTTCTTTAGCACCATCAAAAGTTAATATTTCCAGTTTTGGTCTAGCATGTAAAAAGTTTGGAATTGCCACTTTATTCAAACAAGTAAAAGGCAAAAAATTGAAAAATTAACAACACTTCTTATATTTATAAGAGAAGTGAAGTCACAGGGCAGATGGATACCACCAAAATTAGAGAGACCAAGTCCATGTAGTGAATCACAGCTTAAGAGAGCAGCACCCTCCTTGGGAACCAGTGCCAGGTACAGAAAAGCTGGAATGGTAGTGGGCAAATTCTGGAGACTCACTATGGACAACTCTGACAGTTAAAAACTTCAGGAGGACCCAGTCATTGAGGGGTCCCCACACTTTTGGGAGTTTTACCTCCTGTATCTCTACCAGGTTGTCATTGTGAATATTGGAGAAAAGTCTCAGGGACCTGGCAGGGCAAGTGGAATAGGAACCATTTTGCCATATGCCAAAGTATTCTGTTCTTAACAAGGTCCGCCCTTAGGAGAAATTGTTTAACTAGAGCCTAACAACCTGGGGGAAGGGAAATATGCAACTTTGGCCCACTCTAGCCACCCTGTCCCATGTAAAGGGAATGGGGGGATGAGAAGCACATGTAGCCTCCACAGTCCAGAGACACAGGCTTAGTAAAAGGCTGAGCCCTCACCATAAAACTATAAAATGCTTCCCCTCCCCTGACAACTCATCACCACTTAGTAAAGGCCTTTTTACATCCGTTCCTTTTACTAAAAACATCATGCCTCTCAATCAAGAAAAAATGGTAAGGCCTACCAAAAGGCAAAAGACATAGTTGGAAGAGACAGAAAGCATCAAAACTAGATATGGCAGGGTTATTGTAATTATTACACTGGGAATTTAAGACAACTATCTCTTTGTTTTATATGTTAAGGGCTCTAATGGATAAAGTAGACAGCATGCAATAACAGACAATATAAGCAGAGAGATGAAAATCCTGAGAAAGAAGCCAAGCAAAATGTTAGAAATCAAAAACACTATAACAGATGTGAAGAATGCCTTTGATGGGCTTATTGGGAGACTGGATATAACTGAGGAAAGAATCTCAAAACTTGAAGACCTACCAATAGAAATCTTTAAAAGTGAAAATCCAAGAGACTAAAGACTGAAAATACTTGAACAGCATTTTCAAGAACTGTAAGATAACTATAAAAGGTATAACACATGTAATGGGAATAATGGCAGGAGAAGAAAGAGAAAGGAACAGAAGAAATATTTGAAACAGTAATGACTGAGATTTTTTCAAATTAATATCAGGCACCAAATGACATATCCAAAAGGGTTAGAGAAAATCAACAGAATAAATGACCAAAAACAAAAACCAGTACAAAAACTGCATCTAGGCATTTCTATTTGAAACTACAGAAAAATCAAAGATAAAGACAAAACCCTGAAAGAAACCAGAGTAAAAAATGTTACATATAGAAGAACAAATATAAGTATTACTTCTGACTTTCTCAGAAGTCATGAAAGCAAGAAGAGAATACCATGAAATATTTGAAGTGTTGAGAGAAAAAAAGAAAAAAACACCAGCCTAGAATTCTGTACCCTGTGAAATTTTCCTTCAAAAGTGAAGGAGAAAATTGAGGGGGTTTGTTGCCAGTAGACTGAGAAAGAAAATGATACAGGTCATAACTAAGATCTATGTAAAGAAAGGAAGAGCATCAGAGAAGGAATTAGTGAAGATAAAAATTAATTTTTCTTATTCTTAATTGATTTAACAGATTACAGTTCATTAAAAGTAATAGTAGCAACAGTGTATTTAATTATGCATGTTCTTGTATGTATCTGTGTGTATATACATACATACATATGATTATGTGTGCTTATAAGTGAGTGAACTTAATAACAGCAATGACACAAGGGGTAGAAGGAAGGAATTAAGATTATTTTGTTATTGTAAGGATAGTGTTATTTGAAAGTAGACTTGGATTTGTTATAAAGGTATATTGTAAACTCTAGGACAAGCACTAAAAAAGTAAAAAAAAAGAAATATAACTGATATACTAAGAAATGAGAGAGAAGGGAATCATGAAATACTGAATGTAAACCACAAAAAACATGATAGGGGTAGAAGACAAAAATAGGATCAAATAGCAAGGGTAACAAATAGGAAACTAACAGATGTGGTAGATATTAATCCAAGTTTATCAATAAATGCTTTGAAGATCAGTGGTCTAAATGAACCAGTTAAAAGACAGACATTGTCAGAGTGGATCAAAGCAACAAGACCCAAATATATGTTGTCCACAGGAAGCCCACTTTAAATATACAGACACACATAGGTTAATTGTAAATGGATGGAGAAAGATACACCATGCTAACACTACTCAAAAGAAAGCAGGGATAGCTATATTAATTTCAAACAGAACAGGCTTCAAAAGAATGAGATTTGTCAGGGATAAAGAAGGGAATTACGTAATGATAAAGGGATCATTTGTTGTCTAAGAAGACAACAATTCTTAATGTTTATGTGTCTAACAATATAGCATCAAAGTACTGATAGAACTGCAAACACTAATAGAATTGCAAGGAGAAATAGATGAATTCTCTATTTCAGTTGGAGACTTCAACACCCCTCTGTGAGAAATGGGCCAGCAGGCAGAAAAATCAGCAAAGATGTAATCCCATCAATCAACTAGATACACTAGATATAATGAACCTCTATGGATTATTTCATGCAAGAACAGCAGAATATACATTTTTCTCAAACTCACATGGAAGATTCAACAAGATAGGCCACATTCTAGACCATAAATCATATCTTTAAATTTAAAAGAAATCAAACAGTTTTGGCTTTGTGACCACAATGAAATTAAACTACAAATCAGTAATGGAAAGATAGCTGGAAAATTCCCAGATACTTGGAGATTAAACAACACAGTTAAAAAAACAACAACACATAGACCAAAGAAATATCTTAAGAGAAATTAAAAAAATTTTTTGAACTAAATAAAAATAAAAACAAAACTTAACTAAGTTTGTATCACTCAGTAAATCAGTGCTCAGAGAGAAATGTATAGCATTGAATTAATATATTAGTAAAGAAGTGAGATCTATTGGGATGGCCAAAAAAAATTGTTTTTTCCTATAATATGGCTCCAGTAGCAGCTCTCAGTTGTCTTTAACTTCATTCGAAACAATTTTGTTAGATTGTATTGTGGCAGCTGTCATGTCAGTGTCCTTTTTTTAAAAATCTTATCAAAATTGTTGAGTTTTTATGCAGTATTTTAATATTGAAGATGGAAAAAAATACACAACATGTTTACATATTATGTTTTATTATTTCAAGAAAGGTAAAAATGCAACTGACACACACACAAAAAAGATTTGTGCAGTGTGTGGAGAAGGTGCTGTGACTGATTGAACGTGTCAGAAGTGGTTTGCAAATTTTCATGCTGGAGATTTCTTGCTGGATGATGCTCCAGGGTTGGGTAGACCAGTTGAAGTGGATACTGATCAAATGGAGACATTAATTGAGAACGATCAATGTATACCATGCAGGAGATAGCCAACATACTTAAAATATCCAAGTCAATGAAAATAGTGGTAAAAGTGAAAAACAGGTCATTTATTTTACAGAAGAAACCATATGGACTTTTTGGCCAACTCAGTGAAATCAGTCATCTAATCTGCTACGTTAGGATACTAGAAAAAGAAGAGCAAACTGAAGTCAGAGTAAGCAGAAGAAAAGAAATAATAAAAATTGGAACAGAAATTCATGAAAATGAAAACAGGAAATCAACAGAGAAAACTCCACAAAACAAAAACCTGATTTTTTGAAAAGATCAATAAAATCAGTAAGCCTTTAGCTGTCTAACAAAAATACAATATATAGTACAGATTACATTGCTGCATATCCCATGGATAGTAAAGGATAATGAAGGAATATTATGAACAATAACTCTATGATTACAAATTTGATAATGTAGAGAAATGCGCCAATTCCTTGAAGGACACAATCTGCTAAAACTCACATGAGAAGACATAGACAATCTGATTAGGCAAACATCTATTAAAGTAATTAAATCAATAATTAGTAACCTTCCAAAACAGAATTACTAGGCTCAGATGGGTTCACTGGTGTATTCTGTCAAACTTTTAAGCAAAATATTATACCAATTTTCTACAAACTCATTGAGAAGATATAAAGAGAGAAACTTCCTAATTCATTCTATTAGGTCAGCATTATTCTAATCCCCAAACCAGACAAACTATTAGAATAAAAGAAAACTACAGATTCATACCTCTCATGATCATAGACATCAAAATCCTTAACTATTAGGAACTCAAATTCAACAATGTATCATAAAAATTATACACTATGATCAATTAGGATGTGTATCAGGTATGGGGTTGGTTCAACATTTAAAAATGAATGAATGGAAACCATCATGTAAACAGATTAATAAAAGAAAAATAAGATGATTATGTGAATAAATGCAGAAAAAGCATGTGACAAAATTCAACACCCATTCATGGGAAAAACTCTTCATAAATTTGATAAATTATATGTACAAAAACCTACATATGTAGGTTAACTGTGAGAAATTTGAAATTCTATCATTAATCCAGGAGCAAAGCAAGGATGTCCCTTTTACCAGTTTGTTAGCATCATACTGGACATCTAGCTAATGCAGTAAGATAAGAAAAAGAAATAATTGGTATGCAGGTTGGGAATGAATAAATAAAGCTGTCTTTTTTCACAGCTGACATGATTGTCCATGTAGGAAATCCAAGAGAATAGACACAGAAACTCTTGGACCTAAGTGCTATAGCAAGGTTGCAGGATACAATGTTAGCGTACAAAAGTCAATTGCTTTTCTATAGACCAGCACACAATGAACAAGATGATATGCAATTAACAACAAAATATCATATACATTAACACTCCCCAAAATGAAATACTTAGGTATAAATCTAACAAAGTATGTATAAGACTTGTAGGACCAAAATGACAAAACTATGATGAGAGAATCAAAGAATCAAAAAATAATTTGAGAGGTATGCTACGTTAATGTGTGAGAAGTCTAAATATTGTGATGATGTCAGTTATTTCTAACTTGCTGTATAGATTCAACACAGCTGCAAGGAAAATCCTGGCAAGTTATTTTATGGATATTGAGAAACTGACTCTAAAGTTTGTATGGACAAACAAAAGACCTGAAGAGACAATAATTTTGAAGAAAAGAACAAAGTCAGAGGACTGTTGTTACCAAACTTCAAGATTTATTATATTAATAGTTTGGATTTTGCATAAGACCATAGATAAAAAGACAAATAGGTCAATGGAACAGAATATAGAGCCCCCAAATATATCCACATATATACAGTCAACGGATCTTTGACAAAGGGGCAAAGTCAACACAGCAGAAAAATATATTATTGCAAACAAGTGATGCTGGAATAATTGGATGTCTATCCATATGCAGAATAAATCTAGACACAGACCTTATATCCTTTGTGAGAATTAACTCAAAGTGGATCACAGACCTTATTGCAAAACAGAACTACAAAATGCCTAGAAGATAACATAGGAGAAAACTTAGCTGACCTTGGTATAATGGTGACTTTTTAGATACAACACCAAAGGTATAATCCATTAATCAATAAGATGAACTTCATGAAACTTAAAAACTTATGTTCTGCTAAGACAGTGTCAAAAGAATGAAAATATAAGCCATAGACTGGGAGAAAATATTTGCAAAAGACACATACGATAAAGGACTGTTGTCTAAAAATATAGAAAGAACTCTTAAAAGTAGGAGAACAAAAAACCTGATTTGGGGCCAAAACTTTAACAGGCACTGGACCAAAGAAGATATACAGATTGCAAATAAGTGCATGAAAAGATGCTGCCCATCATATGTCATTAGGGAAATACAATTTGAAGGAACAATGAGACACCACTGCACACTTCTGAGAATGACCAAACTCCAGAACACTGACAACACCAAATGCTGGTGAGATGTGGAGCAACAGAGACTCTCATTCTTTGCTGACGGGAGTACAAAAGGGCACAGCCACTTTGGAAGACTGCTTGACATTTTTTAATAAAAGTAAACATACTGTTTTAAAAAAAGATTGTATTTGTTTATTTATTTTTAGTGATGGGGAAGGGAGGGAGAAAGAGAAGGAGAGATACACCTGTGTGAGAGAGAAACATCAAATGGATGTCTTCCGTATGAGCCCCATCCTGGGACCAAACCCACAACCCAGGCGTTTGCCCAGACCAGGAATTGAACTGGCAATCTTTCAGTTTGCAGGGTGAAGCCCTAACAGCTGAGCCACACTGGTCAGGGCAGAAGTAAACATACTCTTGCCATAGGATCCAGCAATCACACTCCTTGATATTTATTCAAAGGAGATGAAAACTTATGTCCACACAGAAGCCCCCTCACATGGATGTTTATAGTAAGTTTATTGGTAATACCTAAACTTAGAAGCAACAAAGATATCTTTTACTAGGTAAATGGATAAACTGTGGTACATCTAGACAATGAAATATTATTCAGCGTTCAAAAGAAATGAGCTACTAAGCCACAAAAAAGACATGGAAGAACCTTAAATGCATATTACCAAGTGAAAGAATCCAATCTGAAAAGGCTGAATATCATTTGAATGTAATACTGTATGATATTCTGGGAAAGGAAAAACAGTGAAAATGGTAAAAAGATCAGTAGTGGTTCCTGGTGGGCACTTGAAATATTGGAGGGCTCACTTTTTAAAGTATATGATTATCTAACCACTATGAAACTAACATAAAATAATATCGAATGTAACCTGGTATTGAAAAATAAAATTAAAAAAAAAGATCAGTTGTTGCCAGGAATTAGAGGAGAGAGAGAGAGAGGTGAATAGGTAGAGCACAGAGGATTTTGACAATGAACTACTCTGTATGATACCACAATGTCAGTCCAAACCCATAGAATGTACAGCACTAAGAACGAAACCTAAAGTATAGTAAGGAAGTGGGTGACAGTGATGTTTCATTTTAGGATGGTCACTTGTAACAAATGCTCTTGTGGGGGATGTTGCTACTGGGGGAGACAATGCGTATATGGGGGGGTAGGGTGGAATGTGTGTGGAAAATCTCTGTACTTTATGCTCAGTTTTGCTGTGAAAGTAAAACTGGTCTAAAAAATAAAGTTGATAAAGTTAACCAGTGAGGTATTTTTTAAAAAGGGAATGATTTGTACTCATCTATATCTACATTATAGTTGTTGATATTTTTGTTTATTTACACAGTGTTGTCCTTTGCACCAACAGGAACGATGGTGATGCATTATTTGTTAGAAGTGGGCTCTGAGGTTATCTTCCAAGTTGCTTATGTCCCTTTTGCTATCATACGGCAGAATTCTTTGTCTACTTAGAAGCTATACCAGAAGTTTTTTGGAAAACATAGAGTTAAGGACTTGCACTTGTCTAGTCTTTCTTTAGAAATAATAATCAAATTCATGCATGCATGTAATGACCACTTATGATTGTTGCTTGGCCAATAGTAACTGTTAGATGCATCTTCTTTTCAGAGATACTACAATGTCAAAATAAAAATCATGTTAGTTGACAAAAAAAAAAATTACAGCAACTCAGAGGTTCTCTGTGCAGTTAAAATAAGCAAATTAATTTATTAGTTTTAAATTTTAGATGACTACAGCACTGTTTCTTTCTTCTTTTTTTTAACCTCATCCAAGTACATTTTTTCATTCAAAAAATTTCATTTCATTTTATTTTTATTCTTATTTATTTTATTATAGTTGTCCCAATTTTTCCCCCTTTGCCCTCCTCTGCTCAGCACACCTCTCCCCGCTGCTCCCACAGTCATTCCCCCACAGTCAGTCCATGTCCACGGGTCACTCATACATGTTCTTTGACTAATCCCTTACCCTCCTTTCGAGAGAGGGTGAGAGAGGGGAAGGGAAGGAGAAGGAGAGGGAGAGAAACATTGATGTGAGAACACCAATCGACGTGAGAGAGCAGCATTGATTGGTTGACTTTTATACATGCCCTGACAGGGACCAAACCTGCAACCCATGGGAATCAAACCAGTGACCTTTGGATTTATGGAATGAGACCTAACCAACTGAACCTCACTGGCAAGGGCTTGACTACAGCTCTGTTTATTGATTTGCTTTTCTTTTTGAGAATTTTTTAATATGCTGTTGAATTTATCACTGATTTCTAAAGTAATTTTTAATTTACTTTCTATAATTGTAGGTTAAAGAGCAACTCTGACCCATAAAGCAGTAAAATACATTAATTAATGTTTTGGATCTTAAGATCTTGACCATGTAAATTTAATTTTCTTTTTGCATTTCTTTTTTTGACAGGTTACAAAGACAGAATTAGAGAAATTAAAATCCAGCTATAGACAATTAATAAAAGAAATGAATTCTGCCAAAGAGAAATATAAAGAAGCTTTAGCTAAAGGTATGGCAAAATTATGAAAAAATATTTATTTTAGTGATTTTTATTTTAATCATTTGAAAGCTATCTTTATGAATAGTGGAATGATTCCACTTAGACACATTAAAAAAATACGAAGGTAAAGCAAAATAGACTGATTGTGAAATTATGTAATAATTCTTTTTTAATAAAATGATGCATAATATTTTTGAATAGTGCATACTAAATGGAATTACATAGCACTTGTGTAATAGAATGCAAGGAGTGTTTAAATTTATCTCTAGCATAAAGTTTAGTTAATTAGTGAGTAATAAATAAGAAAAATAAGGTTATATTTGTTTAGAAGCCTTTTTAATCCCATTTTAACCTATGGTACTTAAAAGCAATTAAAATCACAAGATCATTTTATAACATTATTTTGCCTTTATAGCTTAATTTTATGTGTCTGCCGTGTCCTAAAGGTTTCATCAGACAGTTTGTAAGGAAATGGAAAGAGAAACCAATGTTTTAACAGATTTATGGGTATACTCTTGAAATGTAGCTAAACAGTTTTCATATTTTGATTTTTTTATATTATAAAAGTTGGAGTTTTTAATATTTCTCTCTGGCTAAATGTAAGCTTTCTTAGAAGCTATTTATGTTTGCCTCTTAAATTTACCTTTCTCCTTTATTAATGTATTTTTTCTGTCTTTTTCTTGTGTATTATCTTGTTATTTTTTGTAGATAAATTAAATAAACATATCCTACATTGGGATGTATCTTGCACAATGAAAACACTGTTTTTGTTTATTTTAGTAGGCCAGAAGAGATACTGATTTGGATGTAGTTCTCCCTCCCTCCTTTCCTTAGTTCATCCTCTCTTTCTATTGATAGCTCCCTGCTTACTTTGCTTGTCCCTGCTTCTTTCCCTTGTTCCTTCTCTCTGTCCCTCTTTTTCTGCCCTTTTCTCCCTCACCCTTCCTCCTATCCCCGTCTTTTCTTCAGCATCTGTTTTATGTTTCCCTCACTTCTCTCACATTTATTTCATGTTTCTGCTTCTCACAGTGTTTCTGTTGCTTTTTAGGGATGGTGAATCTATGTTCATAGTGTTATTTTTCATGTACTTCAACCATTACTTTGAGATTATGATCTCTTTACTAATATAAATATGTCTTTTAAAATGCTTTTGTGATTTAATTACCTGTTATTAAGTGAAAAAAAAGAAAAAATGACACGGACTTTGGAGTCAGGTAGTGTTGGATTAAATTCTAACATTGTGTGATTATTTTATAGACTTTTAAACTTCATATTCAAGCCTAATTATTATTACTTTGTTATTTTTAAAAGTTCCTTAGATAATCAATAAGTATTTACCAAGCACTTTCTATTTTTAAGTTACTCTGATTGAAACAGTATTTCGTAGCTCACTCATTTTTAGTTGATATTCTAACTTGGAAACTCCAAGTCTTATCCTCTTTGAAAATATAGCTTATATACAAGGTATGCTTTGCTCAGCCATTAAGAATAGTTCAGAAATAGTTTTGTGCATAACATTACTACTCAATATGTCAAAGATACTTAATTACTACTCAATCTGTCAAAATAGTTGATTTTATAAAATTCATTACTTAATGCCTGGCTAGCATTCTCAAATTAGTGCCCTTATTGTAAATAATCATATTTAAATTCACCCAGAGCAAATGATGACTTAATTTAGCTGTATTATAGTCCACCTATACTAAGTATTTTACACTAGGTGTGTATCTTGAAGAATAATTAGGAAAAGAAATAAAAACCACTCCCAAGTCTTGATACCGGTTTTTAATGATATTATTTTATTTTTGTTTAAAAATTGAAATCTAATTGTGATATTACAAAGTTTTAAACAGTTCTTCACCTAGTGCTTATTTTATCAAAAATTACAGACAATAATTGTTCTTTATTACTTTTGATCTAGATGAAACACTAGTGTTGTACTAATAGTAGGAAGGCAATGAGAAAAATCTCAAAACTGAAGTTTTAATTGGTATTAAGTGATTATATGATTTAATTTCCTGTGTTAAAATATGTGAACTTATTTACATTTCTTTTTCTAAAGATATTAATGACAGTATTTTTGTATTTTCAAGAATTTAATTATTTCTTTTAATTCAATTTATAACCTATAAGATATATATTTTTAAAAATAAGTTCTTATGTAAGTATTATGCTTGAGGCATATGTAAATTTCATGTTTACATGAAAAAGTATGAAATTGTATTTCTGAAAACTTTGTTTCTGTTTTCAAACTGCTTCTATATTTAACATGGAAACAGAGGTTCTTTTGTGAAGTTATTTAGTCATAATAAAGATAATGGGATGGCAAACATTCCAGTATTTATAGGCTTTATGTCAGAACCTTAGTTCATCTGGACAGGTCAGACCAGGGCCCTTTGGAATGGGTGCTAGGCACTGGGGGGCGCGCGCAGTGAATGCCCAAGCCCTGGCTCTGGCATCCAGAGATTATTTAAATATTAGGAGCTCTTGGAGAAGCCCAGTCTGACATATAGCATCCAGCTGGAGAGGACAAGGCTTTGTGAGAGACAGGGCCTGGAAGTAATTCTTATAGTAAGGGTTAAATTCTGGATTTGATCAAAATGAGTTCTGCGTCACAGGCTCAGTTACTGCAGCCTGAGGTTCAGCAGAGGCAGTAGATCAGCAGGAAGGCCGTGTTAGTGTTGAAATGCGAAACTACTGACTCCTGCTGGATGGATTACACAAAATACTTTAAATTTTGGATGTTAGAAATTCTTTCCAGTAGGGCATTAATTTATGTTCAGTCTAATGTAAAATAAAAGCTCATTTGGAAAAATGAATATAGCATTGTTTTAATTTTTTAAACTATGGATTAAATATTGAATTGGTTTTGCTCTGTACTGTATTGAGTGGACAGATGTTTATATTAAATCGATTTGGACTATTGGACATTAGTCTATTTTTTGGCTATATATATCTGTTTATTGACTATTTCCTGGACATTAGTCTATTGATTATTGTTTACAACATGTGCATGGAGAACAACCATAATAATTATAGCTTATTGATCTGAAGTTAATAATTTATATTGTTTCTTTTTAAAAAATTGTTTATGCTGTTACAGTTGTTCCTGCTTTCTTTCCTTCCTACCTCCACTCAGCCCTACCCCCTTCCCTCCCTCAGTCAGCCCCCATATTGTTGTCCCCATCCATCCATGGGTCATGTATGCGTGTTCTTTCATTAATCTCATCACCATCTTTCATCCAGTTCCTCCCTCCCCTCTGGACACTGTCAGTTTGTTCTATGTATTTATGCTTATGTTTCTATTTTGTTCATTAGTTTATTGTGTTCATTAGATTCCACATATAAGTGAGATCATGTAGTATTTGTCTTTCACTGGCTTATTTCACTTAGCATAATATTCTCCAGGTCTGTCCATGCTGTTACAAAATGTAAGAATTACATCTTTTTTTTTTTTTACTACTGCATAGTATTCCATTGTGTAAATGTACCACAGCTTTTTTTATCCACTCATCTACTACTAGGTGCTTAGGCCATTTCCAGATCTTGGTTATTATACATAGTGCTGTTATGAACATAGGGGTGCATATAGTTTTTTGTATTCATGTTTCAGGATTCTTCGCATTTATATTGTTTCTTGATGGCAGTGTTGAGTTTTAGAATAACAAGTTCTTGAATGCAAAATATACAGGTTTTACTTTTTATTATAGATTGAGTTATGAACACTTTGGTTGGTTAAACAGATGGTTTAGCCATCAGACAACTTTGTGAATTCATGTAGTTTGTCTCTGAACTAAGGTTGTGACGTAAATGCCTATAAATGTTGGGAAAATTTGCTATCGCATCATCCTTATAAAAAGTAAATGACTTTTCAGAAAGAACTCCTACAGGATCATATATTCTATGAAAAAAGAGTTTTACTTTTCCTTTTCATTCTGGATGTCTCCTTTTTTTTTTTTCTTGTTAATTGTCCTAGATATGCTCACTAAGAAGTAGAAAGAGCAAACATGTTTTCCTTGTTCCTGAACTTGGGGGAAAGTCTGCCATCATTAAGTATGATGTTAGGAGTAGTTTTTCAAAGATTTTTAAAAATCAGATTGAAAAAATTCATTTCTGTTCATACTTTAGAATGGATGTAGGATTTTGTCAAATGCTATCTCTGTACCTATTGAGATGACATTTTTTCCCCTTCTTTTTGGTTTAATATGGTGAATTATTTTGATTGACTTTCATATGTTTCAAATATTATGACATTCCTGGATTGATGGTTCCTCTTGGATATGATGTATTATCATTTTTTATATTGTTGGAGATGGTTGGCTTAAGTTTTTCCTTATAATTGTCATCTATATCTTTTGTTTGTTTTGTAATATCTTTGTCTCATTTCCATATAAGGGTAATGCTCTCCTCTGAATTATTACCTTCTCCAATTTTCTAAAACAGTTTGAGTTCTACAGGTAGTATTTCTGAAATATTGGTAGAATTCACTTGTGAAGCCACCTGAATCCATTTATTTTTATTTTTTTTCTTTTTGTGAAGGTTTTAAAACTACAAGTTCAATTTCTTTAACTGCGATAGCTATTTGGTTTATCTGTTTCATTTTGTTTGAATTTTAGCAGTTTACATCTTTTAAGGATTTTGTTCACTTCATTTAAGTTGTTGAATTTATTGGTATCAAGTTGCTTACAATATTCCTTTATTCACCTTTCTATATTTGTAGAACTTGTGGTGACATTTCCTTTCTCATTCTTAATATTGGTACTTTGTGCCTTCTCTCTTTCTTAATCATTTTGGCTAAAAGTTTATCAATTTTATTAATATTGTCAAAGATCAGCCTTTGTTTTTGTTTCTTTTTGAGGAGGTTATTATTCTACAGCATCATTTGATTGAGTGATTGATTGCATTTGTACTACATTTATTTATTTATTTAAAAAATTTAAGTATAGTTGACATACAATATTATATTTCAGGTATACAACATAGTGATTCAACATATGTATACACTTTGT